AAGAAAAGAAGTAATATTTACTTACTCCCTACACCGTTCGACATTCGCCGCCATTCATCTCTTGGAAAAACCAACCGAACGCCCACCCACCCACTATCCATCCACCACCCCGCTGTTCATTTCCCTTATTGCCAGTGAAATGCAATAAAAATTGTTTTCCCATAGACTCTGGTGACGGCGGCTAAGCAAATGTTGTTGGAAATGAGCTATAAAAGCGGGAAATTGTATTTTACAGTAATTTCTGCAACACACAAACTAGCTAGCTTGCTAGACCTGTTCTCGTGTTCTGTAAAAGTCCCCTAACCCCACATCCTGTGACCTTCCGCCCACCAGCTTTCCATGCTGCTGTCGCAGATAATCCGCTGCTGAGTTGGCTTGTCTTGACTTGGCTTGACATTGGCTTTGGGTCGACGTCCCGCTCCGCTTTTTATACGGTTTGAATCGGGTCTGAACCACCCTCCCCCTCAGCACAACCACCCATCTATCGTGGCTTTATAAGCTGCCAATATTAAAATGATGACAAGTTTATGGCAAAAAGGAAAAGGCTTCGTCAGGCAAAGGCACCAACGGAATATTGGTAAAAAAAAAAATATAGAGCAGGCGGAGAAACAGATGAGTGAAGGCGAAGCGAAAATGCAATTCATGGCAAGCTGATGTCTCGTGGCTTTATTTATAAGCAACCCATCATACCGCCCCCACAGCCTTGAACAATGAGAATTATAAAATTCCTACCTCGTTGCCCTTTGGCTAAAGTGATCAAGAAATAAATGCATAAATAACTAAGTGAAATTTCAGAAAGGCAAACAAGCTACTTGTAGTTCGAGGACATTCCGTTGCTCTGAGTTGACTGTTCATTTGGTGGTGGTGAAGTTTCAAGGCAACTTAATCAACTTGTAATCGAATAATTACAACTACAATATGGCTTAGATATGTCTATCCAATCCGGAACTAGTTAACATTTCTTTACTCAAAAAGTAATTTCCTTATATGAAAGCTAAATAGCTTCCTATTTAAATAACTTATAGTTATAGGATATAATTTTATTAGTTTTTTTAACCTAACAAAACTTTAAATTCAATTTATTCAAGCTAAAATTCGGTTTCACTTAAATTTCGATATTTAAATAACGATCCAAAATAATGAAAGAAATCGGTTTGGTGACCCACCAAATTGTCTTTTCTGGCTAAAAAATTTACGTACTTCGTTTTTGGTTCATTTCCAAGTTCTCTTATTGCATCTCTGGTGCAACAAGGATGGCTGCAGGAAAAAGAACGAATTACATAAATAACTGCGCAGTGTTTGTGCCATTTTGGTTGCCACATTTGAATAAAATATGAATAAAAACCGAAATGCATTTAGTTGGATGGCGGAAGGGAGTCTAAAGTGGGGTTTCAGCGACAGATAGGCAGTGGGTGGGTAAGGCGGCAATATCTCCGCATGTCCTTCGCACTACCCACTCCCCCTTTCACTCACAAGTGGCTCGACCAGTTTGTCACCTTTTCGCTATAGAAAAGGTCTTATAGAAAGGCGAGACTCTTCGTCGCACTCGTTCTTGGGTTTTATCCTTTTCCCTGCAACTCACATGCACAAAGAGATAAAATCACAAGCAGATAAAATGATACAAAAATATTTAATCGTGTGAAATGTTATTCATATTATTATTCATATTCATTCGATCAAAATTTGTCTATATAATATATAAGCAAAATCTCGTATTAAAGGTATAACCAAAATATTTGTATTTATTTATAAAAATAAATCATTTAATCGTTAATCTTAATTAAATTAATATGTTAATGTTATATAAGTATTTTGATTTATTTTGATATACAGGAAGCCGATTAGTTTCGTAAGTAGAAAATAAAATTAAAGTGTTATCCTGTAGACATTTTTAGCTTTGGTAAGTTTTTCTCTGTGCAGTTTGTCTCCGCGATTACCCCGATATTTCCCTGCTGCCTTGCCTTCGCATACAGATACGATAATATTTGCATTCAGTTGGGCCTCCTTTCCCAGCCCCCCGCCTTCCATTACCAGTCCTGTTGCAGTCTATTTCTTTTTTTATTTTGCTGTCAAAACGTCAGCAATGTCGTCCTCTTAGTCCGCCTCGTCCTGCCCTTGCTTGTAGTCCTGTTCCTGGTCTTGGTCCCCGTCTGGAAATCGTTCCGGAGCGCAGCGTTCGCTTGGCTTAATTTTGGCTAGGGAAAAGTGCATAAAAAATCTGCGGCGAATTTGCAATTTGAATTCGACTCTGCGACCTCTTCCTGTCTCCTGGCTCCTGTCTCCTGTCTCCAGGCCCTTTGCATACCGTACCTATGAATGTGTGCTAGTGCCTGTGTCTCCTTTATTGAGCCCAGGACATGGCCGTCGTCTCGGCTAGGAGGCCGTTTCACCTCCAACCGCCCAACAGCCCAACACCCCTCCCGCCCGAAAAAAAGGCACCCTTTGCTGAGAAGTCTTGGCAGGCAGTCAGGCGGCTATTTAGGAAGTAATTTTCGCGCTTTCATCGCAACTTTTTCTTTTCGCATTCGCGCTGTGTCTGTCTGCAGATCTTTTTGGGCACGTTATTTGTGCTCCTTGATGGGGCCGAGGCTGCTCCTTTAATGCATTTTTAAAATGCCAAAATGCGCAAATTGAAAGCGACTCGCCGTCTTGCCAACCGCTCTGCACCCATCCTTTCACTAGTCCTATTTTATTTCTGTGGTCGCCTCTTTTCGCCCGGGTCACGTGTTCGCAGGACACAGGACACGCTTAGGGTGGAGAAGTTAGGTGAGGACACGACTGGGCCACACGCAGGCATAATTTCAGCCACTGCACTCAGACTTAATGAATATTTTAAGGACAGCTTTCATATTACCTGCCACTGCATATGTTATATGCAGAGATGTATGGAAGTTCGCCCAGGTCAAAATGTCACAAATGAGCATCAAATGTTTGTCAAGTTACTATTTCTTTTTTTCGGCTAACGATAATGGCAAAGTTCATAGTAGAGTGCCACGATGTGGAAAATCTCATACCATTAACACCGGAGTTTCCTTAGGATTTGAAAAAAATTAATGATTTTCTATGTAATCAATGTTTTTATTTTCAAAAGCTTGTTCAACTTGTACACCTTATTTTCTTTTAAAGCCGTCAACTGTAAGTAACCACCTATTAAATAAGTTTGTACACACTATCTAGCTATAAATAAAATATGTACACAAACCATATATTTATCTTGAAGCCAGATACATACATTTCACAAATGGACTTTAAGATCAATCAATTTTTAATGAACACCATCATAGCACAATCAAATCAATATTCAATATTTATTTTAATAAACACCAGTAGCGTAACTTGCAGTTGCACTTTTAAAATAATTTATAGTGCTTAATTAAACACACTTCAATCACATTTTTGAAGATAATTCCTGCTATTACTCAATTGGTATTTAACAACCACGAAAAATTGACATGTATTGATAACACATAAAAGTAAAGCCCATAATTTAACACACCATCAAAGTGAGCTTACGCATATAATTTAAGTCCACACTCATCTAACCGCAAAAAGTAATTATAAACAATTAAAATTTTCTGTTGGTTTAAAATTTAAATATAAAATAAATAACTGTATTAAAATCGTAATTGTTGGAATGTTGAGAAGCTCAAGTATGATTCGAGAGCAGATGCGCACACATTGGCCATGCCACTTTTCTTTTTTTTTTTTGTGTTACTTGCCATAGCACATAATTAAAATTACACACATTTTATATATGTACATAAAATCCAACCCTCTCACACGCACATGCAGTGGTTACAATTGACCCAAAATGAACTCTTTACCCCACGATCTCGCGGGCTCTGGCCAAAAACCCCGGCCCAAGATGCCAACCACAATTTAATCTCCCTGGAATTATTTCCCCCAACCCATCAGAGCCATCGTTTCGCCTTAAAAGCGTTCTTTCTTTTTCGTTCATTTCGGCCCCCGCACCGTCCGGATTTCTTTGTATTTGTTAATAAACTCCCCGGCAGACTAAATTCAAATTACGCACACATCTTGAGAGGCTGAGTTTGAGTGGGGGCGATGTTGGCAGCCATTTCGCTTATAGGCTGCTCATTATGTCAGGTCTATATTCATATACGACTTGCCTTTCGCCTTTTGCCTTTTCCCGTTGCGTTCTTTCGTTCCGGTGAGTGCGTGAGTTCGTCTCATCCCGGGGAATCCCCCGCCACTCTCGACTAGTCGTAACATTTCATCTTTATTTTGGCATTATTCCCTTGGCGCCGCTTATTGTTTTTCGTGAAAATGGCAACGGCAATGGCAACAAATTAGAAGCGTGTGCCCATAGCCCGAAACGAGATGGCAACGAGTTTGGGGACCCATTGGGAAGGGGGGGTTTATTTTCTAGTTTCCTCGACTACGAGGACCAGCGCAGGTGCAATATCCCTTGAGCACCTCCACTTGGGTTATATCCAACGTTAATTATCTAATGGTGAAGCTCGACCCACATTTTTGGTCATGCTTTTAATAAAGCCTTTATATGCAGTTCGCACTTTTTTGGCGTTATTAAAACATTTCAAATTTATTGGTATTAAAACTTTACAATTCCCATCTTCTTTTAAGTTGCCCATTTTAAAAAATCGAGCGTTATATAAAATCAGCTTGCAGCACTGAATTTAGGTTGTTAATAAAAGCTGAAAGCTATAAAACATATTTAATTGATGGGCTCACTAAAGTTGCTTGCTGCAACACTATTTTTAGTTTTCAGATAATTTTAATTTTACTATTTATGTTTTTTAAACTTAATAGCGCAGTGAACTTTTCTAAATCGATGAAAGTGTAAATACAGGAAAGTCTAAATATTAAAAAGAACTATTCTTTTACACAAATCAAAATTCATTTGCTGTAAATTGCTATTGCTTTTACAATATTAATGTATTTTACTGAATCTGCTACCATTATTCCGATTTCAGCTGTAACTACTTATTCTGCAGCCAATCAATAAATCAAACACAATATTTGCCCTCTGCTCTATTTTCTCATTTATTTATCCCTCTGATCTAATTCTTTTTTATTTAGTTAGATGCAACGTGGTCAGAAGGATTCATGTTGGATTAATTCATCGTACAACAGATTAATTAACAGCATTCTTCATATTTGTGCCTGTGTATTCCACTTCACTCCATTCAGTATTCAACATTTAGCATTCTAAGGTTCAACTAACATTCGTTATAATTTACAAAATATACGCAATAACGGCAATTATCCTTGTGTATTGTCCTCGCAGCGCATTCGGCTTTTCCTCATTCAGGATCAATCAATATTTCCTTCAGGCTCCTTTGCATCCGTTTTAAAGTATAATTATCCAGCGCCAACGATTAAACATAAAGAATATCTCTGTATACGAATATCCAGATGGATTAGTTTTATTTCTTCAAGCCCCACGCATTGTTACTGGGAACCGGGACACGACGTTGTCCGGACTCTCGTGCCAGCACCTCCATAATGCTCGTAGCGGGTAGCCAGCACTGCGAATAAATTAGGACAAGTAAGAACACAGATTTGAAAGCCTCTTTCAGTTGCTTGAACTTACCCTTTCCTTATGTGCAGTGGCCACCACATTACGATTGGGCTCCTTGTCATAGGAAACCGACTCTATGCCAAATATCTCGCACAACTCGTGCACTAGCTGCCTCTTCTCGCGGTTCATCGTGGGGAAGGAGTGGCTCCTTGACCGCTGCTTGCTCTCCTTGGCCAGTTTCACTAGATCACTTAGCGTTTCGTACACGCTCTTGGTAAGCGCCGGATTTCTCTTTGCAAACCCACGAACAAACTCCGAGTACTTGGTCAGGGACTTTTGCTTAGTATCGGGATTTCCTGAGGACAGGGCCACGGCCAGGCGACGATTCCTCTCCAGCAGTCGGCATTCGTCGTTGCAATCCAGACTAAAAGATAATAGATCAATTATTACATATGTAATATACAAGGGGCCTGTTACAGAAATCTCTTTCAACCAATTTCAATTTAAAGTGAAATTGGATTTATTATTCAATAATATTTTTCATCAAACAGAGATTTCTGGCACTTCCTTTTTTATTAATTTTTTAGGGATTAAGACGACTTACGTTCTGTTGGACTTGTTGGCCTTGGCCGGGGCCAAGATTTCGCTGAGCTCCATGTAATTGCCGCGGGACATCTCTGCCATGGATGAGGCCAGCTGGGCAGTGGCTATGCGGCTGTGCTCCCTAGCCAACTCCTGGCAGCTGCGGCTCTGCTTCCGGTGGCCGCACTCGCACTGAACTTCCACTTGCTCCTTGCAGGGAGTCTCCGGGCAGGCTCCTTCGTGACAGGCGGCCGCACACTTGTGACCACAGTTCGATCGCGGCTTGGTGCAGCTCTGGCGGCAGATCTCGCCGGTCGTCTGACAGGCGCCCTCGTGGCACGGCTTGATGCACTTGTGGCGGCCACATGGCAATGGTTTGCCACAGGCTAGGCCACAGCTGAAGTTGGGCTGCGAGCAGGGAATGGTCTTGCGCTGCTCATGGTTGCCGTGGCAGAACTTCGTGGTGAACATCATGCAGGGCGGACACGTGGTCGCCGAATGGCAGTTGTGCTGGGGCGGATGCTCGCAGGGATGGGAGCGCGAGCAGGGGCGCTTGCAGATTGGCTTCTTGGTGCCGCACGGCACTGGCGGATAGATTACTTCGGCGCCACACTCACAGTAGAGCTCCTCAAAACTACTGCGGTAGCATGGCGGACAATTTCCGCGGTGGCACGGCTGGTCGCACTTGTGTTTGCCGCAACTCAAGGTTCGGTTGCAAGGCAGCGGACATGCGTGATCTATGTCGATGCAGCACTCGGCATTGCACTTGTGCTTGCCACAGCTGCGCTTCTTGGTGCATCGTCGCTTGCAACGGGCATCGTCCGCCCGACTGGACAGCTGCCGACACTTGATCATCTGGTCCATGTGGCCGCAACGACACTTAACAGCCGTTTGCTTGGGACACGGCGGACACTGGCCCAGGTGGCACTTGCTGCCGCACTGGTGCGGATGGGCCGGCTTTCCACAGCGTAGTGTCCTGGAGCAGATGCCCTCGCAAGTGGGGATGGGATCCAGGCAGCTCGAACGCTGAGCGGCCGGTACGGGCATCTTGCCACAGGGACAGCTGGTTATCTGTTCCGGACTCAGCTTGCAGGGTCTAAAAAAAAGTAATTTATCAGTTTAAGAGGATAAATATTTTTAGTCTTCTACATAGCGTAGAAATGACCCATCTGCATAAGCTTTGAATAGTTTAGCATACAATTGACTTGTATTAAGGCTGTAAGATACAGTGAATGTTGCACAAGCTCAGTAGTATTTTTTACTATTTTAAAGAAGGCATGTTTAATGCACATATTTTAAGCCTCAAAATGCCAAATTTGGTGGTCTTAAAACTGAGTTTCTAAAAAATGTTGTGTATCATCAAAAATTAACTATGATATGAATTGCCTTTATACACCACAAAATGTTAATATTTTTTTGGAATGTCTTATATATCGAAACCACAAACTTTTAATATTTTTGGAATTTTTATGAACAATACAGATTTAAATAATATTGAGCGGAATGAAAATGCACCTAGTTAAAAGGGCAACTTTTCGGTTATATAGTTTTTAGTTCAGTGGGTGGCAATTTATTCTTACCTACAACTGCCCGCGTGGCAGGAGTCCTTGCATTTGTGGTTTCCACAGGGTAGCGGTTTTCCACAGCTCTCCTTGCACGAGTAGCTGCGCTTGTCCTGGTTCTCGCGCGTACACTGCACCTGGCGCTCCTGTTTGCCACAATGGCAGTGCTGCTCCACCTGATCGGGACACGCAGCACACTTGCCCGAATGGCACTCCGCCTTGCACCGATGCTCGCCACAGTTTAGCGCCTTGTCGCAGATCTCGCCGCACAAGAGCTCTTCCTTCATGGCGCACTGCATGGTCTTGGAACTGCGTCCGCAGCCACAGCTTCGAACCACATTGGCCTGGCACGGCGGACACGGACCGGGGTGACAGAGCAAGGTGCAGGCGTGACTGCAGCCCTCGATTCGGCAGCAGACCTCGCCGCAGCTGTGGGCCAACTCCGTCCGCGACACCGGCGGGTTCTTTAGCTTCCCGCAAAAGCAGAGATACTCGCGCGGCAGATCCTGTAGCACATTCTGGCAGGCTGGGCAACGCCATCCGTTCTCAGACTTGGAGCTGCTCGCCCAGGTAATGGTGCACTTCAGATGAAGCAAGTGGTAACAGTTCTGGCACGACCAGGTCGGCTGATGCGCCTTGATCGCCTCCACGCACACCAGGCACTCCAGTCGCCGCTGTTCGATATCGCGGATGAGTTTCTCACGCTGCGATAGCTTCTCGTTATCCGCCGGCGGCGGCGGTGGAGCTCTTCTCGGGGAAATCTGCTGATGCTGCTGCAGCTGTTGCGATTGCTTTTCGGGCGATGGGTGGGCACTTTCGTTGCTCGTGTCCAGATCGTCGGCGGCCCGTGGAAAGCCGTTGATACGATCCCTGTTGCGATTCCAGTCATCCCTCCGTTTGTTGCTGCGATGATTGTCGTAGCGTTGCTGTTTCTGCGGCCTCCTGCGATCGTTTCGTTCGTAGCGATCCTCTCTTTCCCGTCGATCCTCCCGATCATCTCGGTAGTCGGAGCGCCGCTGCTGACGCGTGCTTCCTGGACGAGAATCTCTATCCCGGTCCCTTTCGTAATTGTGGTTCGAGCGGTGGTTGTTGGCTCCTCTTTCCGAAGCGCCTTCGGCTTGCAGAGCCCTGGGTCTTGTCTCATTTATGGCAGTCTCTAGGCTGGCAGTGCTGTTCCCGTTCGTTGTGGCTGCTGGAGTCTCGTCCAGACTCAGCTTGGCCAGACTGGGCACAAATTCGGGCGCCGAGGCCTGCAACTTGGAAGCGCTGAAGTCAAACGGATTGTTGCCGAACGGTGTGTAAAGACTCGAAAAAGTGCTGCTGTTCGGGTTGCCCGATCCGTAACTGTTGGTGAATGCGGCGCTAGCGATGCCATCGCCATTTTGATACGATGGGAATACGGGCTGCGAGTAAAACTGTTGAGAGAATAGTGATTGATATTATTTATATCAAGACTTTGATCAAGACCTGATTCATAAAACGTGATTTAACAAGAACTATAGGTGAACACTCTTGCAAAAGATTATCCATTAATCAATGTAAATTCTTGTTTATTTAAAAAATGTGAATGTGAAAGTTTGGCACGATAATTTCAGCTATAGTTAAAAGGTTAGTTTCTTGTTTAATTTAGGTATGCAACTATTTAAGTTTGACTTGATTGTTTCTATGGCTACTCTGGAATATAAGCATCCTATTTTAAAGAAATAAAAGCCATAGAACTGAAATCTTAAAATCAAATTATTTTATACTATATCCTCTATGGAGAAGGCATATACAAATAGGTTGGGAGCGGTCATGAGCTGAATGACTCACATTTGAAAAGTTGTTGGAGTTCGCTGATGCCGCTGGAGGATTGAGGCCAAAGGCTCCTCCGCCGCCGCTGAGGGAGTAGTTTGTGTTGCTGCTGGAGCCAGTGCTAGTGCTTCCCAGCGGATGTTGCATGGTGCCTGCGGCACTGGAGGGCGTTCCTCCGCCCAGATTGTGTTGCATGATGAACTGATTGAAGTTCACATAGTTGTTGTTGCCGCTGTTTGGAGTGTTGGACCCACCCTGGTGACCTCCATTGCAGGCGGCCATGGAAGGGGACTCACTGCCAGGTCCTGCTGATCCTGATCCTATTCCAGCCCCTCCTCCGCCGTTGGACAACTGCTGCCAGTACTCAGCCATGGGAAGTGCAGTGGTCAGCAGCACCTCCTGCCGCTGCCTCCCCTTCTTTGCCGGAAAAGTCTCTTCCTGGCCGCCGCTGGCTGCTGGGCATTTGGCAGCGCAACCTCGGGCTCGTCCGCAATCCACGGAGCACTCTAGTTTCCAGTCACGCAGCTCCAGACACGTGTGCAGTGATGAAATTATGCCAAATGGCGAAATTACCCGAATCGAATGAACTGATCGATCGGATTTGGTTGATGGCTAATGCCAGCCAACTGGACGCTACTCTGCCGGGGTGCGCGGGCACTTTTTGCAAGGTTTTTTGGCGCTTCCTGCGTATTTTCCGCTCGCTTAAATGTATTAATTGCTAACAAAATTAAAGATGGGTTAACGACTGAAGAAAGTATCGATGTATCGATACACAGGGTCAGTGTGGTTGAAGCACTCGCTAATGCGTCGGAGTTTTAAAGTGTGACCCTCGTACAGTTATCCGAAAAATACCACGGTTGTTGATAGTGGGGACTCAACCCATTAAATAAAGTAAGGTGGCAATATTGTCTGACATGAAAAGCCGTTAATGCTTGAAATATAATTTAAATACTCAATTATTAATTTTTTAGGAAATTTCAAACTCTTGTAATGATATTCTTCACAAGTTTTTCATAGATGAACGTTTACATTTCGACGTTTTTGGATATCACAGTTTAAGGTTCCTAAATACTATGTAATCTTAAGAAAATTTTGTACACGTTTTTTTTTTTCAGAATCTAAATAGTTTGCGGAAACCAGTAAAAGATTTTATAAGCAGAAATTATTTCTAAATCCCTTTATTTTGTGATTATATTTGTTTTTTCCTTGTGATTGGAACACCAATTTGTTACTTTATGTTGACAGTATACAAATATATACCGATGATTAGGCCGTAGAGGCCCAGCACCTCGGCGAAAATCAGGATCAATATCATGCCGATAAAGAGGCGTGGCTGCTGGGCGATGTGTCGCACACCCACGTCGCCCACCTCGCCCACGGCGTAACCGGCAGCCAGTCCAGCGAATCCCACCGAAAGTCCTGCGGCCAAGTGCACATATCCAGTGGGCAGCGAATACTTGATCGAAGGAGCCAGTTCGCCTGAGAGCAGTACGGACACCACCAGGCCATAGATGGCAATGATTCCTGCCATAATCACCGGAATAATCGACTTCATGACCAATTCCGGACGCATTACGGCTGTGGCGGCGATCCCAGTACCGGAAACGGCGGTTCCGTAGGACGCTCCAACCGAAGTTAGTACACTGGAAAAGACGACGCCCATTACTCCATAGAATGGCGAGTACGGGGGATAGCGATCGAGGATCAAAGCGGAATCGCTGGTTTCCTTTAGCTTAAGGCTTTCGATGAGGCCGACGACGTCCAGTGTTCCGGTTCCATTTATCACCGGATCTGTTTCCTCCATTTTCAATGGCTTAAATCTTTTATAGGGCTTATCGCCACAAACTTGAAAAAATTATTCTTTTTGGTAATAGGGTTTTTGGAATGATACAGATACTTACTTACAAGAGAATGCTTTGTATTGCTTTGCTTTGACATATGAATTAGTCTGACATAAATAAAATCACAACTAGATTGGGAATATTCTAAGGGCAATTCGTTATTATACAATTTATGGCCATTTCAAATACTCTATATCAATTTATCAGTAAAATCTCAAAGTTGTCTTTTCTTAAAGACTTTGTTGTATTTCAAAAATCATTTTTAAAATAGAAGACAAAAAATAAAACCATTCAATAGAGTAAATTATGGGTTATATTTATTGACTACGTGAATTAAATATTACACATTTTAAAGTAACAATTAAATTTTGAGATTCGTTTAATAATATGAAGGAAAATTTTCGGTAATTTAAGGCGAAAAATCTTTATCTAAAATGACACGACATAGTTAAGTTTAAAAAAGGCATTTATTGGCAATTTTATTTTGGTTCTGGTATATGGACAATTTTTATTTTATTGAGTTCTGTCAAGATCAAACTTCTAATACACTTTTTTTTTATTTAAACTTTAGATGGATTTTTTGACACATAAAAATAAAAGTTTTAAGATACTTCAGTGCAATTAGTATTTGACTGAGCTTGTAAAGTTTTCACTATTTAAATATATGTTCCTTATAAACTTTTCTATTAAACAGAATCTGACTTAAATATGCTTTATATAAATCCTAAAATGAATAATAACAATGGAAGAACTATACTTGGTAAGTGCTACAATTTTGGTTGATACTGCTCTCGGTTGCGATCCCTCCATCGATTCAGAATGTCCTGAGATTGCTGAAAAGGGTTTGCTGAGTGGGCGGAGGTGGTCCAGGTGGAAGAGGACCAGGTGGTGGTGGCATCGCGAATGTTGGAGCCATGGCCATGGCCATCTGTTGAGGACCCTTTCCCGCCGGTGGAAGAGTTGAGGAGGCGACTCCATCCAAAGGACGATACTGGCACTTTTTGGCGTGGGTTCGCATGTTGCTCGACTGCGTGAAGGCCTGATTGCAATTCGGATGTGGACAGACATACGGTTTGCAGCCGGTGTGGTAATTGAGGTGCGTCTTCAGGTGGTGCTTCTTGGTGAAGGCCTTGGGGCAGAGGGGGCAACTAAAAGGCTTGATGCCCGAATGCAGACGGTGGTGCAGGGTCATGTTGCTGCGATCGGCAAAGGACTTGCCACATACGGAGCACTGATACGGTTTCTCGCCACTGTGTGTTCGCATGTGCTGTTTCAGCAGCATTTTCCTCGAAAATCTCTTTCCGCACTCGTTGCATTTGTGCGGTTTTACCCCTGTGTGAATGCGGACATGCATATTGAAGGCCACTCGCTGGTTAAACGACTTTGGACAATACGGACACTCGTACTCCTTCCGATTCCTGTGGATCTTCAAGTGGCTACTGAGGTAGCCCTTGTCGTTGAAGGTCTTGCCACATTCGGGACACTCGGCGGCGAATTCCTTGGTTCCCCGGTGAACGGACAGGTGGTACTTGTAGTTCCTTAGCTGAGAGAAGCCCTTTCCGCAATCCGCACACTCGTACCGCGGCGATTTGTGCGTCTTTTCGTGAGCCTGAAAAGGGGAAAGATTAAAAATTAATTAAATTGCTCAATTTTATAGTAAAGAAGGATGCATTTTAAGAAATTTTTATAAAACCGCGCCTTGCTATATTTAAAGACTTTATTGAAAATACCAAAATCTAAATGAAAAGGAAAAAAATATGTAAATCAAATGATATTAATAATTTAAATTTCATATTTTAATAGAAAACTCAAGACAAATATATGTTGATTTTAAATATAGAACTTAAGATGTTCAATTAATATAATATATTGTAATTTAATGACATTTTTGACAAATAGTAAATAGTTAAATAGGTTAAAAGGGTAGATTTGAAGTATTTTTAGTTTTTGTACACATAAGATAGATAAGACCTAAGGAACAATTCCAGTAAAAAGGAACATTAACCTTTAGAAAAACTCAAATCTGATACAGTCGAGGATTATTTAATGTGGTTAAGGGTTTTTAGAATATTAATGCGGTCTAATTTATAATGAATTTAAAAATTTAGTTTTATAAATTGAGTTGGGAACTGAACTTCTGGTTCTTTCTCTCTGGGGCCATTTTGTGAATGCCTGTCGCCTTCTCTTTCTAATATATTGGTAGCTGGTAGCTGCGCCCTGCACCCATGCGTAAAACCAGTTCTCTCTCTTGGCCCGCTTCTGTTTTTGGCCGACTCCATTTTGAACGGGCCGCGAGATTTGCATAATTCTCCGCCGCTCTCTTCCCCACTCCACTCCGATCTCAACCTTTCTCTCTGGGGCTCCGCCCTCCCATTGGATCTCTCGTTGGCCCCGCCCTATTCCAGATGGTATCTCGATTGGATGAAAAACCCGTTCGGGAGGATCTTGAATGCCTCTTGACTTTGAGGACTGGATGAACGATATTTCATTTGATGTATGGCTATATGAAAGGTTAAAGCTGTTCTTCAAATACATTTAGGTTTGCTTGTTTTGAAAGGAATTTGGTATCCAAAAATGTTTCAAATTTATCACAGCAAAAAATATTAAACTGGTGAGAGGAGTTTAGATCAGAAGTAATCCATTGAACGTTTGCTATCAACATTTGTCAGATAACAATAAATATTACAAAACTGGTAGTGGTTAATAAATTTATTAATTTGTTGGTTTAAACAATTTGTATTGCTTAAATGTTTTTGTTTTCGGATTTTGCAGTTACATTTACCAAAAGTACTTACAACATTTTCTGATTAAAAAATTGTTTTTGCTTTATTTCGAGTGACAAAGATCCTGTGTTTTTATTGGCTACGGCTTCATGATAAATTTAAGCATGGACACAAATAAAAAATTCTGAAACGTACTAAAAGCAATTGTAATTCTTTTTACAAGAGTAAAACATAGAATTCTGAAAATGGTTTAACAACCAATTTAAAACAAGAGAGAAAGAAAACTTCGGCAAGCCGAACTTTATATATTAATTATTCTATATTTTCATGCTGAAAAACTGAAAGCTATATGATAAATTCGCTCTATTTTTGTAAAACCAAAAACAATCCAAAATAAGATTGGAAATGTGCCATTCTCGGCGCTATCCTTATATTTTTAGCTTTGATTGATTTAACAGTTTTTAAAACTGAATATTATTTACGGAATGTAAAAAAGTCGATTAATATTTTGAGTTTTGTTTATCTATATTTAATAAATTTTTTAAAATAAATAACTAATCTATCTGCCCTTTTTGTTCATTAAAAAAATCTATTGATTGGTAAATCCTAAAGTTGGTAATTATAGTTTAAAATCTCACCTGCAGAGTTTCGGAGCATCCGAAGACCTTCTCGCATATCCTGCACTTGTAGCTGATCTCCTCGTTGGCCGCTGGATTGTAGCCAGCGATGCCACCGATGGCTCCACTACCACCACTGCCGACGGCAGTGGCCACCAGTCCCACCGGCATCTTGGGCACCATTCCGACGGCAGTTGACTGCACCGCATTGAAACTCAGATTGGTGACGGTGGTCAGTGAGATGTTGGTGCCGGCGGCTGTGGCAGTGGCTCCACCAGCGGCACTCATGATCAGATCCCTGACGGGTCGCACGGATCCACTGGAACTGCTCACGGAGGAGGCGGCGGGTGAAATGAGGGGCGTGGCCTGCTTGTAGCCACCAGCCTGCAATCTTTGGTAGTAATCCAGGCACTCCAGGCAATCCGGACGAGTGCAGGCGGTGCTCCTCGGACGTTGCCCCGCCGCCTGGCCATTGATCACGTAGGGGGCAAAGAAGCGCTTCTGGGTGGGCAGATTCTGGGGATGCTGTGAGTAGGGCGATGTGGGTGGTGTACTCAATCCTGCAGCTGCCGCAGCAGCCGCATAGGCGGGCAATAGATGCGGGAAGAACTGGGCATAGAACTTGGTGGCATTGGCCATGGCCACCAGATCGGGCGGCAGCATGGAGTAGCCCCCTGCTCCTGCTCCTGCTCCGTAAGGGGATGATGGCATGGTTAATCCTGGTCCAGGCTGGGTAACCCTAACACTGCCGCCACTCTTGGAGAGATCCAGTATGTTCGTGCTCGCATCCGGAGCAGGTTTGCGCTCCTTGCCCAGGATTTTACTGATACTAAAGTCGGTGACCTGCACCGGTGGCTGGGCTCCCACCGCCTGGACTCCATTGGTGGGCGAAATGCGCGCCGGCGAGGGCGACAGTTCGTAACTGCGCTGCAGCATGGCGTGCTTGAAACCCATTCTTCTCCACGGCGGCGAATCACTCATAGACCGCTGACCGATTACTGATTTCGATTTGGATTTAGATTTGGATTTGGATTTGGACTCGGACACGAGACGCTTGTTGGCCGGGAACTGTCGCGTTACGCGTCGAAACACGAAATGTCTTGGGCTCACGGCCCACAGCAGCCGTCATCGTCTTTTGGCCGGGCCTAAAGCCTGCTGGCTGTGACTCTCCCGCTCCGCTCTCGAATTTAATTGGTCGAGAAACAGGTTTCCCGGCCAGGTCTCTCTCCCAACGACTCTCCAATTAACCAGGTTTGACTGCTGGAGACAAACTGTCGCGCCTCCAATTACGAGAGGAGCTGCAATCTGCAGGCCCAGAACCATTTGGTAGTAGCGTTCTACTAGTCACATCTATCATAAAGCTTATCGCTGCCCTCAGATCGCTCGATTCGCTCTGCTCTTCTCCCATTCTCTCTGTCTCTCTTTTTGGACCTCTGATAAAGTGACTAAGATTTCGTTTTGGCCGCGTTGTTTTTGTAATTAATTGCGGTAATAAAATGTGCGCATCGTTAAATTTTCAAAATGTATTTCTCTTGTTCCTCATCCACAGCTACATCCACATCCACATCCACATCCACATTCTCATCCGCATCCTCGCCCGATTCCCAGGCATGTGTGAATCTTACGGTTATGCGCATGCGCAGCGATCATCTTTCGAGGTGATTCCACTCGTCACGGCACAGTGTTCCAGTCTGTGTGAGTGTGGGAAGGAACTGATGGCCATAAGCTAGATGACATAACCCCTTGGAATTCCCAAACGGGAGTATGCGAAGTAAGCTACTATTCTGGCCAATATAAAAAGGGTAGGAAGTCAGCCTGATAACGGTGGGCATTTTGCGGGTAAATAAATGGGTAGACAGGATATGCAAGCAAACAAGATTACATAGAGCTATGCAAAATAGATTTAACAATCTCTAGTTATTGGCTCTTCAAAGGACATTTGGTTTAACCCATTCTAACCTACCCAAAAGCTGTATCAAGTCTAGCTTTTCCCAGTTTTATATGTAGGCAATAAATTTAGTTTTGTAAGATTGTGTGAATAACATAATTTTATGTAATTTACCGAGGTTATAAAAACAATGAAAACTACTTACATAATTAAATAAACCAGGCAAAAAAAGGACAATGGAAAAACCAAAAATATATCCCAATATGTCTTTTTCTTTAAATATAAAAAGTGCGATCAGCAATTGATTGATAGAAGATAATATATGACTATTAAAATATATTTCTAGATTTATTTGCGCTTACATTGTGAAATGATACCAATCTTTAAATAAAAAAACCTCAAAGACTAGTTAGTAGTATAACCTATTCATTTCTCAACTTAGGCCACAGAGCTAGACCTCCTTTCTTTAAACTGAAACCATTAAATCCATCCCCCTTCGGACATACAATCACTTGCATAGCATCAGTAGCAACCATAAAAATGTGCAAAACAAAATGTTCCAAGCCAAGTGATTTGTGATTGGATGAAACTCTCATAAATAACAGGGGATCCAAGTCCTCGGACTCTGAGGATCCGAAGAGATGGGGTGAGCTGGTGACACACAACCAGAATTCAAGGAAGCTACGGAAACAAATGAAGTGGTATACATTTACAGCTACATGGAATGGGATCCGGTAAAATGGAGGTGATGTGACTCACAAGGATGAGAGTTCCTGCTCCTAATTGCCAATTACCGAATAGAGTTTCTATTGGCATCGCTGGCACACACAATCTTGTACACGATTTGTCCATGATCACTTACAAAACGATCTTATCGGCAGTACCCGTTTCGAGAGCCACCTTAAAATCCCCCCAAGAACAGTGGCTATCTAACCAACTACCGATCCTCCGTCCAGTGATTGATAATGGTTTGACTGTCAACACGCGCTGCTCGCTTCGGTTACCCACGATCTGCATAAATTTCGATTAAACAGGCGATTCGTTATAATTATATATATATATATGGACCCCGGAGTGGAGAGCAGCAAACACCAAAAACTTGTTCAACCTCAGAGTTGAAAAACTCTTTTTTTAGTATTTCGTTTTTCGGCTCGACTGGCCTTTCGTGGAATTCTGCCAGATTATTTACATATGCGAAGCGAAGGAAACTTAAGTTTTAATTACACTCACTAAATCATCGAGCTCCTCCAGACTCCAAACTGCAGAGACTTTGTTTTGTCGCATGACTAATGTTTATTAGCTGCTAATGGTTTGTTTTACAAAAGCTACGTGGTTGCCCCATACGAGGTTTCCCCCAATCCCTACTATCCCATCGAATCCCAGGGCATCTCATCTCCGGCCGTTCCAAAACTGTTTCACCCGTTGACATTTTGACAAATTTCCAACTCCTTACTACCGTCGTCGGTATGGAGCCTGCTCCAATGTAAGCTGATACCTATCTCATCTGGCCAGATCTCAACCTCCCCGAATCCCCTGGATCCCCATATTCCCCCCAATTCCCAATCCAATTCTTCTTCTTTGTTCACACTATTAATTTTCCGCTCGTTATTGTCGGGGATTCTCGTCTTCGGTCGACTGGGATCTCCTCCTCATTGGGGTGGTCGGCATTTATCTTATTTTGTGTGCGTTTAAAACTTCTTTGTGAGCCTCTTTAATGTCATGTGTTATCGGTTAATGATCAGCCGCGTTGCCAAGTGATTTTCTGTCAGCGGGTGATCAACTTAGCCCTGGATTTCCCCCATCTTCTCCTCCAGTTTGGTTGTTCTCCTTTCCGATTCCGTTTAATTGCCTTTGGCTGGTTGGACTTTTGTTTTCTTGGCTCTCGGCTCTTTGGACCTTCTCGTCTGCGCCTTGTTATGTGTAGCTTGACAAATGTGTTGATTTGCCAAGTTTATTTCCAGCGATGGTCGGCCCAACAATTTGGCATTAAGATTAAACGACCTTTTTGGGGTTGCTGATTTTTCAAGGTGAAAATAAAGTGCGTTACTAACTTTCAAACTTTGGTAGTGTCCGGAAATAAGAGTATGTTATTAATATGGCTTAAATTTGCACATTTCAAAATAGCAAAGAAAAAATGTAGATCGAAGAAGATTAGATTTGTATATATTCGAGAAATTAAAAATTATAATCATGAAAGAAAATTGTTTAAAAATACTTTTAAAATGTTTCAAATGCTAACACGCTTAAATAGCTTAAGTTTAATTTTATTTCTTTAAATTCTCTATACAAATTCTTTAGTAACGCCTACACCTCTGACTTTCCAATGATCTAAACGCCCTACAACATTTATGTATTTGTCAGGCGTCGGCAATAAAACTAAACCAGGGCCCTAACAACAGCATTTAGGAGGTGTTATACTATTGTCTAACCGAGATATAATTTATATGGATGGGACAAAAGTTCGCTGAAAACGAGACAGAGACAAAGGAGAGTAGAGCGCGGACAAAGCGATATTCACAATTTAAATATATGCACGCCTTTATACAGTGGATCGCAGCTTATTTCGTGCAGTTACCTAAAAAAAGTTCAAGTCGTTATTCCAGCTAAACTAAGAAAGATAACAGAAAAATTTAAATGCAGTATTTTAAAAGGGAATATTAACTTGTTTATTAAATTAAAACGATTTCCTTAATCGTAAAAACAAAATAGTTATTAAATAAAAACAAAATGTGCAGGCTTTTTTCATGCCGCAGCTTATTTCGTGCAGTTCATTCTTCTTAACTTATTATTTGTAATTTAAAAGCTAATATTTGGTATGTCCTCATTTCTGGTTCAGGACAGCTTTAAAACGATTTCCCAAGGAAGAAACTAACTTTTAAGTGGTTTCCACTGGAATTTTTGGCCATTCTTCCATAAGAACACTTTACATGTCGTTTTTGTTCGAAATCTTCCTCTTCCTTATAGCGATGTCCAATATTTCCCATAAATTTTTGATCACATTTAAGTCTGGAGACTGTGCTGGCGTTAAGACGGCATGAGGGCAGTTCCAGACAAGATAAACCTCCACAATTCCTGCTGAATGCTTCGGATCGTTGTCCTGGTAAAATCGAAATCGATCGCGAATGCCCAGTTTTTCAGCAGTTTGGAGTAGGTTTTCCTTTAAAATCTGTAGGTACATCTTGGCCATCCATGATAACTTCAAAAAAAATCGAGGTTACCCCGCCAGAAGCTGCCATACAGGCCCAAACCATAACATGACCCCCGCCATGCTTGACCGTAGCTTATAGGAGTTTGCTTTCTAGCTCTGTATTAGGAACAAGGGAGCATATTCTTCTTCCGATTTCGTTTTGGAATGACGTGTTATTTGCAGACGAGTCAAAATGTAACCTTTTTGGTTTAATATGTTTGGCGGCGACCTAATAAAGAGCTCGAAAACAAACTTTTAAAAGCTACAGTCAAGCATGGCGGGGGTCATGTTATAGTTTGGGCCTGTATGGCAGCTTCTGGCGGGGCAACCTCGATTTTTTTTGAAGTTATCATGGATGGCCAAGATGTACCTACAGATTTTAAAGGAAAACCTACTCCAAACTGCTGAAAAACTGGGCATTCGCGATCGATTTCGATTTTACCAGGACAACGATCCGAAGCATTCAGCAGGAATTGTGGAGGTTTATCTTGTCTGGAACTGCCCTCATGCCGTCTTAACGCCAGCACAGTCTCCAGACTTAAATGTGATCAAAAATTTATGGGAAATATTGGACATCGCTATAAGGAAGAGGAAGATTTCGAACAAAAACGACATGTAAAGTGTTCTTATGGAAGAATGGCCAAAAATTCCAGTGGAAACCACTTAAAAGTTAGTTTCTTCCTTGGGAAATCGTTTTAAAGCTGTCCTGAACCAGAAATGAGGACATACCAAATATTAGCTTTTAAATTACAAATAATAAGTTAAGAAGAATGAACTGCACGAAATAAGCTGCGGCATGAAAAAAGCCTGCACATTTTGTTTTTATTTAATAACTATTTTGTTTTTACGATTAAGGAAATCGTTTTAATTTAATAAACAAGTTAATATTCCCTTTTAAAATACTGCATTTAAATTTTTCTGTTATCTTTCTTAGTTTAGCTGGAATAACGACTTGAACTTTTTTTAGGTAACTGCACGAAATAAGCTGCGATCCACT